TCTGCTGGTGGTTACTTTTGGAAGCCTGTGCAGGAAAGAGAGTTGTTGGTAAATAGTTGCTAATCTAGGTTATGTCCCTGTGGTGCCTGAATTGAAGTTTGGAGGCCTGCAACCTGCAGAGCCTAAAGAATGGACCGGGCATCATTCGGGTCCAGACTAGTGAGTTATACGTTGGGTGTATACGTACTGTCACTTTTTCTATATGTTGCTACAAAATTCCTTGCATTAATGAAGTAAGTGGACAGACACCTCTGTCTTTAAATTTCTTCTAGCAACCTTTGGAAACATCAAAAATTACTGTCAATTGACCTTGATAAAGTGGCACTGCCCAGTTTTCGACAGAACCGACCCCAAGTGAGACCACTGTCCCCTGGAGAAAGTGGAGCGTGGGACATTCCTGGAGGTAAATATTGAAAAGTTTGAAAATTGCTGGTTTTGTTTTGCTTTTTTCATAAGCTTTGAAAAAAGCCCAAACACAGCACAGCCATATGAGAGCCACTGTTTATTTTCAATTGTGGAAAGCATGCATATAATAGTATGTCTGTGTTATAAAAGGCTGTTTGATGAAGATTTTTTTGCATATGAATAGTTTGTTCAATAGAAAGTGTGCATGACATACTGGGAGGAAGATCTTTGTGGGTGCATTTTGATAGTTCAGGTTTGTTTGGATGACTGATGGGTCAGCAGCAGCACCTGTCCTTAGGAGCTGTGACTACATATTACTGCTAGTTAAAATTCCTTCTGTGAGTGCAAAAAGCAGAGTCCAGAAGGGTTTGTCAGAATGGTGCCTTGGGCGAGCTGTTACACTAACAAATGACATCTAGCACTCAAAACAGCTTTCAGGTGGGCAGCTCTCCTGTACAAGCTTGGCACTGCAGGCTGAGCTGGAAGCAGATGGAAAGCTTCATATGTGCTCTTTTCCCAGTCTGAGCTGCTAGACCAAAGACACCTGTAAAAAGGAAGGGTTTGTTTCTCTAGCTTATCCTCATTGTGTGCACAGTCTCAGGAGCAAGCAAGCATGAAATCACTTTCCTCGTTCCATCAGGATTTGAATTGCAGCAATTACTTAGTAGTAAGATTATGGTCAAGTGTCTGCATCTCTCTTCTAATGCAAAACAGAAGATTGTTGTTACAGGGGAAATCTGGACTATGCTTTCATGTGCCCAAACGGGTCAAGGTGGAAAGGCTGGTGCTTTTCTCTAAAGTTAGCATCCCATCTGATTTTCGCTAATCGGTCTGCAGCTGTTAATCTTCCTGTCTGAAATATAATCTGATTAATGGCTGCCTGGGCTTTGAACAAGAGTTAGCGGCAGATCCTTTTGGTAGATGGCATTAGCACCACAAAGCCATCGTGGCTCACGTGGTAACTGCTGGCTTCCAAACCTCTTTGCCTTTCTAGGTATAATGCCTGGCCGGTACAACCAGGATGTGGGACAGACCATTCCTGTCTTTGCCTTTCTTGGCGCCATGGTGGTCCTGGCGTTCTTTGTGGTGCAGATCAACAAAGCAAAGAGCAGGCCAAAGAGACGGAAACCGCGCGTGAAACGACCGCAGCTGATGCAGCAGGTTCATCCACCAAAGACACCTTCTGTGTGAAAGCTCTGCCGTGCCAAAGATGACCTCCTTTGCTTGCTTTCCGGGGCAAGGGGTCGCTCCCTGTGGAGGTGCAGCGAATGTGTACCTAACATCATCTCATAGTCTTTGGTTTGTGGAGAGAAAAAAAGAACCTCTGTACATAAAACTGCAGCTTTAAGCAGCTGAAGCCACCAAAGACTTGAATACTGTTTAAATGGCTGCTTAGTCACTACATCCCAAGAGGGGGAAAATGGACCTTTTTTTTAAGCTGACCAAACTAAAATTTATTTGTTTAAAGGCTATTTTCTATATTTATTGTTGGGGAGGGCGGGGGAAAAGTCACTTTAAGGACCTCTGCTAAGGAAAAACAAGTGCATTTTTATTGGATGGAATGCAATTTTCTAGAATGGCATTATGCTGAAGAGTATAATGTGCACCATTAAGGGAGGAAGGGACTGAGAGAGACCAGTACAAATAAGTGAGGTGTACTCCTGCAGTTTATTTTTATAAAGCAAACTTACCATGATGTTTTGTAATTTTTGGTCACGATTTCACCGTTGTTGGTGAAGCAGATTTTTCAATAAATATGTTATCTATATGAAGCAAAGACAACATGCTAAGTGGCTCTTCTTTCCATTTGGAGTCAAAGAGAGCAGACTGTGGAGTAGGGAAGATTTGCATGTCATCTTTCTTCCCACCATATCTTTGTCTTTACCTGCAGTATCCCAGGTTGCAGATGTTTCCTTGGAGCACTGACTGGGCAGTCGCACAAACCCTGCTTGCTCTGAGTGAGCACAAAGTTCTGGAAACCTTCAAAACTCAGCAGCACATAAGGAGAGAGCTTGCAAAGAGCTGTACAGAAAACCGTCATGGAGATAGCACCTAACAACACTGTGTGGTGTCACAGAGGTGAAAACCCAGTTTGCTTTGATTTGTCCTGCTTGAAAGCCTGTGATTTGTCACTGGCTTAAATAAGGATGCAGGCACAAGTTTCCCCTGTCCGTGTGGTGCCAGTTAATGTTGCCATAACTGAAATAGCTTTTCTCTTTTGTAGTGAAGCTGTGAGGTTTTCTTTAACAACTGCTTTCATCATTGCTCCAAATGAGCATCTTTTCCTAGGAGGAGCCAGGAGCTGATGGCTGCCTGTATCTGTGAATGGAATGGCAGCCTGGGCAGGTAAGCAGTGTGCACTGGTCCTGGGTGAGTTTGTGGGCAGCTCTGGGTGTGGCTGGAGGAAGAGGAGGCAGGGATAACCCTGCTGGGTTATGGGGATGGGCTGTGGGAAAGGGCACTGCAGGAGAGAACTTTACTCCATGTAATCTGGGACAAGCCTATCCAGGTAGTCATGGATAGGGTTTGTCAGTGCATGAGTGTCCTGCAAAAAAGATTGGGCAAACCAATTTTCTCTAACTTGAGGAGTTGCCTTTTTTCCAACATTTCTGTTCTGGAGGATGCCCTGGAAGAGGCAACAGCCTGTTGCCATGGCAGAGAAGGCCCTGAGCTTTTCCTTTGAAGCTATTAGTGGAAGCTTGTTAGGTCTGAGAAGGTGGTCCCAAGGTTGGGCTGCTTGTGCCATCCCAGTGGGGCTGGAGCCTCTTGCTCCTTCCTTTCTGACCATAGATCCATAACGATAGGGAGGGAGTTTTCAACATCTCATCTGTGGCATTAGGGTCTCTCTTAGGACCAGCCAGCAGCAGCTGTGCAACTTGTCCAGATTGTGAAAAATCTATCAGTAAAGGTGTGAAATCTCAAGGGTCAGACCACAGAAGGCAAGAAGGGATCGCAGGTAGCAAAGCATAATTGTGGTCAGTGTTTTTATTTGTATGAAACAAGGACTGTTGTGCCTTCTACAGTCTTCAAAGATAATAATGTGGAGAACATTAACAGCCCTTTTTCCACCTGCCAAAGGGGGCTGGAGCACCCAGATAAATGGGAGAAAGGGAGGAAAAATATGAGGGACAGAGCCCAGAGCCACTGAGATGCTGTCTGGAGCTGCTTTGTTGGTGTGGGAGATGAACTGCACCTCTGGTTTGAGGTTCTTCCATCAGAGGGAGACTGGAAAGCTTTGGTACCACTTCTTAGGTCAGTGCTAATGAGGAGACTTGCTCCTCATTGCAGCACTAATGAGAGATTAGAGCTCCACTGCAGGCTTGAAACCAGAATCAAGCTGTATCAAAGCACAGTCTGAATTAAGAGCCTTTCCCAGTGGCTGGTATTTTACAGCCCAGTGGCCAATTTCTAGGTCGTAGAGGCCAATTATTTCCGAAGCCTTTGGTGTGCAGCTAATGAAGGCTTGGAAGAGCTCTTCTAAGTGTTTGTAAGCCCTGTAGGTGGCATAGATGTAATGGAGGTGGCAGGCACAATTAGCCATCCATAATTCCTCCTAGCAGCTGATTAAAGTCTCTTTATCCGTCTTACCAAGATCAAAAGGGCACATATTTGGGAAATCAAAAATGCATTAGGGGCTGTCAGCCAACGGCAGGGCCTGTGTGCTGTGAGGCCTGGGGCAGTGGCATGTGCCAGGAGTGGCACAGAGCTGCTCTGTGTCCCCCATGTCGGGAATGGGCCCCTCATTCCTCTGGGCTGCAGCCTCTGTGCAGGTCCTTTGCAGCATCAGTCATGCCATCCTGTTATCCTGGCATCCCCTTTGCCTGCGTGGGGCAAGGGCTGGGATGGAATGGGATGGCTGCTCTCCAAAGTCTCCCGGTGCAGGAAAACACCAGTGGGCTTTCAGCTGCTGCAGAGGCACGCAGGGGTGCTGGCCTCATCCTGCATCCAGCGAGTTTTGAGAGGTGTGAGCTGCAGCTGCCTTCCTTCACCCTTCCCGGGGCGCTCCGTCATGCCCCTTGCAGGCAATTTCACGCCTGGCTGAACAGAGCAGGATGAGGGAGGCCTCAGTCCGTCCAGCCCTGTGGTGATAATTCCGGGGATAGCACGAGCCCCCAGCCCGCCTGGCCCGGCCCCGCGCTGGGAGCTGGAGGGGCTGCTGCGTTCCGCAGGAGCGCTCTGCGAGCCGGGGGTGCGGCCCTGGTGAGCTGCTGCCAGGGCTTCCCACGCCGCCTCCCNACTCGGGGCGGGGGACTCGGGCGCTCGGGGATGCGGTTTGGCAGCCCCAGAGGGGAGCCCAGGGGCGCCGGCCCGGGGAGGGAGCGGAGGGAAGGGGACGCATCTGCTCCGGTACCTGGGGAGCCGGCGGGGAACCCCTTCGCACGGCACCCCCGTCCCGACCCCGGCGAGGGCAGCGGTGCGACAGCCTTAGGCTGTTGTCGTGCCGCCTTGGGGATGCTCTTCGCAGCTGAAGCCACGCTTGTAGCTGGCTTGTAGCTCAACCCAAAGTAAATGGATGTCTGCTCCCGAACATGCCCCAAAACCCCAAATCTAAACCCGAAGTATCATATAAGGCTGTGTCTCCATCCTTTTGCTGACCTTTGTTACCCAGGGCCACAAGGTGGTCTGGCCGGTACCCTGGTCCCTGGCTGTGGCCCTGCCAGGTCTGGTCTGGGGCTGATGGAGGCTCGGTGTGGTGCTTCTGGCTGCCTCTGTCCCCGCAGGGCTCGCTGGTGTTCCTGGTGAGCGGGCTGGCGGTGCTGGGCTATGCCGCGGCCCTCAGCGCCCAGCCCACCTACCAGGCCGTGGTCCGGGCTGTGTGCGGGGCGGCCGTGGGGAAGCTCTGTGAGGTCTGCTTCCTCCTCAACCTCTTCATGATCTCCGTGGCACTCCTCAGGGTGGTGGGTGACCAGCTGGAGAAATGTGAGTTGTTCCCCTCACTGTGTTTGGGGCTTGCTTGGGGCTGGCAGCTCTCAGAAGTGAGGGAAGGTGGTCCCACGTGGGCTGGGGTTACCCCTAGGGTTTTTCTGGAAATTCTGAGGACATGGGGCTCCCCAGTTGTGCCATGGTGTGATGCTCCCGACCTCCTTGGACCATCTTTCAGGGCGCAGCTGACCCCCTGCTGCCCCCCACAGTGTGTGACTCCCTGTACCCCAATGGGACACTGAATGGGATCCCCCAGCTGCCCCCCTGGTACGTGGACCAGCGCTTCACCCTCTCAGCTCTCTGTGTCCTCGTCATCTTCCCGCTCTCTGTCCCCAGGGAGATCGGCTTCCAGAAGTACTCCAGGTACCATCTGGGCTATCCCTGTGGTGGCCCACTCCTAGGTACCGTGTACCCCAGGTTACCTCCTCCCAGGAACTTGTGGGGCCATGGCAACACCCCTCCTCCTTTTCTCCTGGCTGTGTGCTGATACTCTTCCATGCCCTGACAGCATCCTGGGCACACTGGCTGCCTGCTACCTCACTCTGGTCATCATCCTGAAGTACTACCTGCAGGCAGAGAGCCTGCGTTTGACTGAGCCCCCCCAGCCCTCCAGGTAGGAGGGTCAGCCCCATGTCCCTCCTGCCCTGAACTCCATGGCATGAGCAGTGACATGGGGGCAGGGCTGGGGTGGCACTGGGCTGTGTGTGTGGTGGGGCTGAGCTGGGGACAGCACACAGTGGATGGTAGCTCCCAGCCCCAGCTTTCACCCCAGCAATACCCCTTTCTCCCAGAATCACTGGGCAAGAGATTCCCATAGTGGCATTGAGGCTGCACGGTTTATGACATGAAGTTTTCTTCTCCATGAGAGCCTCATGCCCTTTGCTTCTTCTCCATATGCCACAGGTCCTCCTCCTGGACTTCCATCTTCAGTGTCATTCCCACCATCTGCTTTGGCTTCCAGGTAGGTCACCCTGGCCCCTCTGGCTGCAGCTGCCAGGGCAGTGCTAGCAACCCCCCATGGCATCCCAGACCATGGGGATGCTGTCCCTTGAAGGGCAGGTTGAAGAGGGGCCTGTGGCTGTCACCAGAGGTGACTGTGCCAGGACACAACTGCCTGGGAATGGGGCAGAACGGGACAGGGCACCCACAGGTGGGGGAGAAGATGCTGAGGATGGGGGCTGTCCCTGCATGGGGCCCCAGCACCATCCCCCCTTGCCTTGCAGTGCCACGAGGCATGTGTGGCCATCTACAGCAGCATGCGCAACCAGAGCTTCTCCCACTGGGTCACCGTCTCTGTGCTCTCCATGCTCATCTGCCTGCTCATCTACTCCCTCACTGGTAACCCCAGCACCAAACCCTTCACTCCTCCTTGCCCCAGGAGTCCTCTCTTCCCTCGGCTCATCCATCTTTCTCAGACTTCCTCTGTCCTGCTCACTGCATGGCCACCCACCCCCACCTCCCTGTCAGCAGGGCTCTATGGCTACCTGACCTTTGGTGAGGCTGTGGCGTCCGATGTCCTGATGTCCTACCCAGGGAATGACCCGGTTGTCATTGTCGCTCGCCTGCTCTTTGGTGTCTCCATTGTCACCATTTACCCCATTGTGGTGCTGCTGGGCAGGTGAGGGGAGTGGTGACAAGCCAGGTGTCCCCCCAGCCGGTGCAGCTCCCCTGGGTGTCATCAGCCCCACAATCCTCCCTCCAAGATCCGTGGTGAAGGACTTGTGGGCAGCCCCGAAGGGCGGGGCCGTGGCGGAGTGTGAGGCACGCGAGCGGCGCAGCCGGGTGGCACTGACGGTCACCTGGATGTCTGCCACGCTGGCCATCGCCCTGTTCGTCCCTGACATTGGCAAAGTCATCGAACTCATCGGGGGCATCAGCGCCTTCTTCATCTTCATCTTCCCAGGCAAGATTGGGCAGCGGGGAGGGACGAAAGCGCTGGGGGTCACTGGTGCCACGGGCGTCGCTGCAGTGGGAAGTGGCCTGTCCTGGCTCCGTTTTGGAGGTGCAGGGCTGTGCTTGTGGGGGACAATGCAGTGGGGCTGGGTGAGGGGGTGCTGTGTTGGGGCTGAGCTTCTGCACTGACAGCAGGGCTGTGCCTCGTGTGCATGACTGGGACCCACAGCCTTGGGCCACGCAAAAAGTGAGTGTGTGCGTTCAGCAGCGGTGGGGGCGAGGGAAGGGGCAGGGTGTGGGATCCCATGGGCCATGGCCCAGGCAGATCCCAGGGGGTGACCCTGGTCAAGGTGGGAACCCTGTAAGGAAGGGGATGTGGATGTGGAGGGAAGTGCTCTACTGGGGCTGTGCCTGGAAAGGTGCCTGCACACCAGGGCTGTGCCCAGGCATCAAGGAAGTGCCCAGGTACCAGAGTGACTTTAGGGACAGAAGAGCTGTGGGGTTTGGTGGCACTGGGACACCACCCAGTGTGGGCTGGGGTGGAGGTCAGAGGGGCAGGGTGCCCCAAGACAGGAGGCCATCAGGAGTTTGGTGCCTGTTTTGCCTGGGTGGTGTGTCCTATCACCACTCTTGTCTAGAAGGGCCAGGGCACAGCTGCAGCCCATGTCAGGGGGACCTGACATGGTGCTGGTGAAAGTTTTGGGATAAGTGTGTGCTTAAGCATGTCTGTGGTGCCCCTGGGGGAGCAGCAGAGTCTGAGTGAGGATGGAGGTTGTGTAGTGGGTGGAAGGAGTACCTCCAGACATTGGGATCTTGGTTAGAAGGGTGCTCTGGGGGGGCCCATGGACATGTGGGGAGGAGTGAGGGTGTCCCAAAGGGTGCCAGAGTGCAGGAGGGGCCAAGGCAGAAGGTCAGCAGGGGCACCCAGGTGGGTGACAAAGGCTTGGAGAGGTCCCCTGGGGAGACCTGCCAGAGTATGAGCCTGTCATGAGAAGAGGGGACAACACGAGCTGGGGCGATGGAGACTGCAAGGGCACAGTCCCAGCCTGCCTGGGACAGTTCGGGAAGGATCACGGTGCTGAGGACCCTGTGACAGAGCAGCAGCTGGGTTTGGGGTGAGTGCTGCATCCCAGAGGCTTTATATGGGCTGTGTGCCCGGGGAGGAGGGAACACGGAGGTACTGGAGCCAGGGGTCCGGGGATTGGGGCTGGAGCCGGGGAGGGGACAGGGCTGGAAGCATGTGGTGATGGGATGGAGCTGGGGCTGCGTGGGAGTGGCCGTGCCGAGCACTGGGTGGGTGGATGCGGGTCTCTGCTCCTTCAGCAGGGCCACTGGGCGCAGGCAGAATTGGGAGCGATCTCGTGGTGGCATCTGCCGACCAAGGTTTGTGTGTCATTGCAGTGGAGACTGGGGTTGGCCCAGAGGGGCTGCTGGGCTCTTCAGCCATCGACTGGGAATGATGCAGAGCAGCAAGGCAGAGGAAGCTGGACCCTGCAGAGAGCTCCAGAGGAGCTGGGGTACAGAGGTGGCCCGCTAGTGAGGCCAGCTCTACCCCGGCAGCCTCTGCTGTGTCGCTGCAGGGCTGCTCTCATCGCCTGGGGCGTTCTCTCCGTTCTGGGCGGTGCCTTCGTGTGCGGGCAGAGCGCTGCCCTGGCCGTGCTGGGGCTGCTGCGCTGAGCGACCACAGAGCCCGCCGAGACCCCCCCGCCATCCTCCCGGACACACACCCCCAACACAGCCACACCGCTGGATCCCATGGCGGTTTTATTTGGAGTCGCCGTCCCATTGTACAGTGGCTAATAAAGACAGGAGAGGGTATTGGCAAGGGTCCTGTGCCACACACCCTGAGGGACCCCCATGCACGTCAGGGTGAGTGTGGGATTGGCACAGACAGACAGACACACACACAAAGTACAGACCCCAGGAAGGAGGGGAGGCAGCCACCCTCACACTTGCCAGGCACCAGCTGCAACTGTGCACATGCAAAGGAAACCCCTTGGGACCCCCCAACACCTGGAAAGGACTAAGGGGCTCCTTGGGAGCAGGAAAACCCCCACTGCCACTCTGCCAGCACCCTGACTCACCCCTGGGACACGGGTCTCCATCCCTGCAGGCACAGACGCTGCACCAGGCACAGCCTCAACCCCCACAGTCTCCTTCCTGGGTGGCCCCTGGGGACTTGCACAGACCCCCAGCCCACTCTCTGCTCTTGGGGGGGCTCCAGCCTCCCACTCCCATTCCTGCTTCCCAGTGCCTGTCTGTCTGCACCCATTGCCCCCCTCCCCACCTACCTATGTCAGGGGGATGTCCCCCTCCCCAAACCCTGCCAGCCCCTCCCTGGCAGTCCTTCTTTCCCCCGAGACCACCCCACGCCAGGGAGAGATGACCCAGGTGATGGGGTAGCTGAGGGAGGATTCTCTGGGGTGGGGGACACACACACGGGAGTTTCTTTCACTGCAGCCACGCTGACACCTCCCCCAGTCACGGCCACCCCACACAGGGGACAGGTGCTGGCGGGTCCCCGGCACCGACGGTCACTCTCGGCTCAGGGTGCACCAGGCAGCTGCAGGGGAACATCACTGGAGGGTCACCCCTGCCCAGCCCCACACCACCCTGACCCCCAGCCAGCCAGCTCAGCTCATGCTGTCCTGTGCACCATGCACCTGCCCACCCTTGCTCCCCAACAACTGGAGAGGTGCTGGCTGCCCAGGGGTCCCTGTCCCCCACGCTCTGGGGTGGCCACCCTCCTACCTGGCACGGCCACACTGGAGATGGCCTCAGGCTGGCTGAGCGTGTCCACCTTGACGTGCTGGAAGCCCTTGCAGGTGGCACTCTGCAGGTGCCTGCACCCGTGTGGGAGAGAGTGGGTGACACAACCCTCCCCAGAAGCACCATCCCAGCCCCTCACAGCACCACGGGCTCTGGCAGGGCTGGGTACCAGCAATCCTGCTGACTTCCCCTCGTACAGAGCACCCTTGGTTCAGGACACTGACCCCACCCATCACCACATCCAAAGCCACTCCCAGGTGGGAGGTGTAGAGAGACCCACCCCAACACCCTGTCCTGCTACAGGGGCAGCACTGGGACAGACAGACAGCTCCTCAGTGCTGCTATCAGACAGGGGACAGAGCTTGCTCTATCAACCCTCCACACCCAAGCATCCCAAAATGGGCTTTTTCATCCCCTCTCCTACCTCTTCCAGTCCTCCTCAGTCTCCCAGAACTCGTAGACGATGAAGGTGACCCCATCAGGCAGTTTCACTGCGGTGACACTGGCAGAAACAGGGAGAGGGGGTGAGCTTCCATCGTGAGGCATCCCTCCCCCCTCTGCAGCCACAGGTGTGCCCTAGGGTGGGCTACTGAGGGGGGACCCATCCCCAGCAGCCCAGGTAGGGCTAGCCCCCCCATCCCAGCACTCCATGCAAAAGCAGTGTTGGTGGCTGACCATGACTGCATCCCAAATCCTGGCTGTTTTGCCTCAGTCCTTCACTTGGTCCTCACTGCAGCCCATGCCAAGCCCCCCATCTCCCCAGCCCCCGACATGCAGCTGCTGATGGTACCCACTGGAAGCAGTCCCGCTCGCCGGCCACACTCTTCAGGTACTGCTTCAGGGAGCTGCAGAACTCGCCCAGGTGCTTGTGTGACACCGTCATCTCATTCCGCACCAGGAGCAGGTACTGCCGGGCCCCCAAACACAGCAGGTGAGACCCACAGAAACACAGGGACCCCCCAGGTGTGGCTCTGTGTTGCAGGGGAACCCCAGCACCCAGGGGTGGTGGTCGGGCACACTCACCGTGCAAGCTGTGCTCTCGCTGTCCGACAGCCGCTGGTGCAGGTCAAACCAGAGGGTCTGGGAAAAGGGAATAAGTAGCAGAGGGGGTGGTGGATTGGCTGAGGCTGTGTGTCCCCCCTGCTTGGTGGGTTTCAGTCCCCAGCATTTGCAATGACTGTGCCCCCTTCTCTACAGGGAATGGGCTCCAAGATCCGCTTGCACGTCTGGTCAGGACCCTTCACCAAAACTCCCTGTTCTCCCATTAGAGCAAACATCCCCAACACCATGTCCTCACCCCTGCCTCAAAACAGCTGGGACAAGGTTCCTGAATTGTCCCTGGGATGGCAGGACAGCCCCACACAGGGAATGCTGGCCCTTACCTTGTCCTCCAGCTTGCCGATCAGCTTGGCCAGCCTGTTGATCTGCCCCTCCAGCCCCTCTGCCTTGGTGTCGGGGGAACCTGTCCAGAGCCAGGAGACAGTGATGGAGTGAGGGGCACCTGCAGGCACCCCCTGAGAGCCCTGTGCTGTTGCTGGGACTTGAGTGCTCCAAGCCACCCCAGGCAGCCAGCACTTACCAGTTTGGAAGCTCTTTCCTTGCTCCCTGGGGACCATCCAGGTGCCGGGAGAGTAGCTGGGCACGGAGTTGTCATACCAGGTGTCACTCAGGCCGTGACCATCCTTGCTGGGGTAGTGCCTGCAACCAGAGAGCACACAGGGGGTCAGGACAGCAGAGCTGGGCAGGCACAGAGCGGCATGAGCCAGCCCTGGGGAGCATCATTTCTGGCGGCTCTGCCAATGGTGCCAGACCCCTTGGGGAGCAGCAGTGCCCACACTGTGGCCAGGCAGTGCAGGCTTCCCTCCTGCACCATCCTTTGGCATCAGCCAGTGTGGGGAACAGGTCAGAAACAGAGGAATGTCAATGGGCTGCTCCCAACAGCCATCACTTTTCTTTCCTGCTTGTGGAACAGCACAGCCCTCCTGGCACCACCAGCAGCCTTCAGGGACTTTTTCTGTCCTAGACAGACACCTGAAACATGGAGCATTCATACCCCTGAAGCTGTGCCCAGCCAGCTGCACCTTACTGGGGCTGGTTTTGCAGAGCTGTGGTTATGGTGACTTTCAGACAGGAGAAGCTGCTGTCATCCAGGCTGCCCATGCCCGAATGGCTGCCCATGAGCAGAGGCTGTGTATCCCCCTAACAGACTGCAGCTGCAGTTCTTCTGGAGAATGGAAACACATCCACTGTAGCTTTCCCTCCAACCTGCTTTCTTTGTCTGGGTCTACGAAGCCCATCTGGCCTGGAGGTTGCTCAAAGATCCAAAAGTGTCCTGAAACACTTCCACAGATGGAGCATCCATAATCACCACCCAGCACCAGATCCTCAGTGGTCCTCCCAGGACCTCATTTATTTGCAAACCAGAGAGAATGCCAAGACCTGCCATTGTCACAAGGGCTTGCAGCTGCCATCCCTGTGTGTGAGATGGGAATGGGTTTGGGGAAGAACAACCCTCTCCTTTCTTCTCCACCAACAGGCAGCCTGTGCCACAGAGGGAGAGGCTGAGCAGCTAAAAGGATTTCCAGTGTTTCCTTCCAGCAAGAGCAGCTCCGTGCCAGCTGACTCTTGACAGAGGTGCCTGGGAGCCCTGGCTCCTCTTGGCACCTCTTGTTAGTCAAGCAGCTCCCAGCTGGAGACAACATGCTGAGTGTCCTGGAGCCAGTGGGCACCACAGCAGCCAACATCTCCCTGCCCTCCTGTCCCTCCCCTGGCACCTGGCTCCTCCAAAGCACAATTGCTGTGTTCTTTTTTCCCAGCTACCCCGAAAATCAGCCAGTGTGGGCTCCACCACATAGACAAGAACAAGACGTGAGGATCTGGTCCCAAAGAACATCTCCAAGATAAGGAAGCAAGAACAACAATAAAGATTGCAGGAGCATCCCTTTGCTACAGGCTGTGCAATTATACCACTGCTGGTCCTGGACAATCCCCTGTCAATAGACAGGAAATTAGGCAAAACCAGACAGATTTATTTAAATCACAATTTAATGAGGTGTCTCCATCTTGGACTTCTGCCTTCGCACTTCGTTCTACAGCCCTTTATTTTTGTGCTTTTTAGGCCACCCCTTTGTCTTCATGCGGATGCAGGAGATAATTTTTTGTGGGATTTATTTTTCTTTTTAGCTATTATCTTCATGAGAAAGCAACTACAATGCTCCCCATTATGATCTGGGCTCACACACGAGCAAATTAAAGCCAGCAAAGTCTTTCATGGGCTCTAATTGCTCTGCCTGATGTTGGGTTTGTTTTCTCTTCATTGTTTTGCTGGAGCTCCTACCTCTTTTAATTCAAGGTTTGCCACAAAACAAAGAGAAGAAAAAGATGTGAGATGATGAAACCCACAGCATTCCTGCTAGAAAAGCTGATGGGATGATTCCACAGAATCTGTCTCAGGAGGGAGCTGGGATTTTCAATCTCCATGTGCCCCTCTGCCCGCCCATGGCTTGGGGGAAGCCAAAATATTCCCATGCAAGCATCCCGAGGCCTCCTGCTTTGAAGGAACAGCAGGAAAGGGTTCGTTCCATGAACATCTGACAAACAGACGGGTTTCCATGGCAGCATGTCCCGGTTAGAGCCGTGACAGTGGCACTCCGGGGAGCTGTGTGGCACTGACACCGAGGGGGCTGTGCTGAGGTTTTACCTCTGCTGCTGGGAATTCCTTATAGCTCAGCCCGGGCAGCACCTGGGAAATCTTGAAGTGGTCTCCTCCTGTGTTTTGTCCTGGGTGGGACCGCTGGGTTTGCTCAGAGAGGCAGCCCCGTGCAGCCAGCGCTGCCCAACCGGTGCCAGGATGCTGGCCCAGGTTTGCATCCCCACACACAACACTCCTGTTAAGGGGGACCTCAGGCACCACAGGAG